AATCAGTCGCTATGACATGCACTCACCACGAGGGGGCAGATGCTCAATACAGGAGCTGCCCCCTATTAGTCAGGGTGCTCCCACAGTGGGAGCTCCGCTCAGCTGACCAATGGGGGCCAAACTCCAGGCTCACGGCTGGCAAGTGCAGCTGCAGTGGCATGAACCTCTCCCGCCTTTGCAGCAGCACTACCAAACAGTAGCAGTGGCAGGTGCAGCAGGGCTGCAATGAGTGGTGCCTGGTCTGGGCTCAGGCTTCTCCCTAGTAGTCTCCATCCCCTGAGGGGTCCTAGATTGTGAGAGGGTGCAGACCAAGCTGAGGGACCCCACTGCTGCATGGATTCGATCACCTGGCCTCTAATATAAAATAAAATCACAATTAGATGCCACTTACACACCCCTAATAATAGCTAGCATTATAAATGACTGACAATACTGGGTGTTGGCAAGAATGGGGAGCAAATGGAATCTCATACTGACAGGAAAATAAAATAGTAATCTCTTTGGGAAACAGCTTGATACTTCCTTATAAGGTTAATCATAACCCCTACCATATGACCCACCAGTTCTACTTCTAAGTATTTACCTAAAAAAAATGGAAAACATGTCCACACAAAGATTTCTATGTGAATATCCATGACAGCTTTATTTATAAACAATCCAAATATCCATCAACTGGTGAACAGATAAACAAATAGTGTACTAGTAAGTCCACACAATGGAATACTACTCGGCAACAACAACAACAACAAAAATGAGCTTCTGATACACCTAACAGCAAGGATGCATTTCAAAACATGCTAAGTGAAAGAAGCCAACACAGAAGGGTATGCACTCTAGTATTCCATTTAAATAACTTATGCTGAGAAAACATTGCAGAGGGGCAGGGAGCAAGCAAGGAGGCCTATTAGGAGGCCATTGTAATAATCCAAGTGGAAGATGGTGGTGGCTTAAACCATGGTACTCACTAAAGAATTGATAAGCCCGACTGGCATGGCTCAGTGGTTGAGCATCAATCTATGAACCAGGAAGTCACGGTTTGATTTCTGGTCAGGGTATATGCCTGGGTTGTAGGCTCAATCCCCAGTGTGGGGCATGCATGAGGCAGCTGATCCATGATTCTCTCTCATCATTGATGTTTCTATCTCTCTCTCCCTCTCCTTTACTCTCTGAAAACAATAAAAACATATTTTTTAAGAGAAATCACCAATTTCCCAATACTGCCATAAGAGTGAACTAAGGAATGTGGAACGTCAATGGACTTTGGGTGTTAGCAGGACTTCGAGCCAAGCACCATTGTTCTGTTGAGATAGTGGTGGCTCGAAGCAATTTCCTGATCTAATAGCTTCAAAGTAAATGTTTACTGGACCTTACTGATTTTTACTGATCTTTATTGACCTTGGAGATGGACCTGTTTGCCATGCTTTACTCAGGGCAAACTGACTGGTGCAGCCATTGTGGAAAACAGTATGGAGTTTCCTCAAAAAGTTAAAAATGGGCCGAGACTGGTTTGGCTCAGTGGATAGAGTGTTGGCCTGGTGACTGAGGGGTCCCAGGTTCGATTCCAGTCAAGGGCATGTACCTTGATGGCAGGCTCATCCCCAGTAGGGGGTGTGCAGGAGGAAGCTGATCGATGTTTCTAGTTCTCTATCCCTCTCCTCCTCTCTGTAAAAAAATCAACAATATATATATATTTTTTTTAAAAAAGTTAAAAATGGAATTCCCATTTGACCCAGTAATCCCATTTCTAGGAATATATCCCAAGAAACCAGGAACACCAATCCGATAGGATACATGCACCCCTCTGTTCATAGCAGCATAATTTACAATAGGTAAGATTTGGAAATATCCTAAGTGCCCATCAAGAGATGAATGGATTCAAAAACAATGGTACATCTACACAACGCAATACTACGCTACTATAAAAAATAAGGAACTTTTACCATTTGCAACAGCATGGATGTGCCTAGAGAGCCTTATACTAAACTAAATAAGTCAGTCAGAGAGAGATAAATATCACATGATTTCACTCATTTATGGAACATAATGGACAAGATAAACTGATGAGCAAAAATAGATCCAGAGACAAGGTAACACTGAACAGACTGTCCAACCTCAGAGAGAAGGTGGGGAGGAGGTGGGGGCTGGAGATCAACCAAAGGACTTATATGCATGGATATTAGCATAACCAATAGACACAGACACTGGGGAGGCGGGAGCTTGTCCTAGGGAGTGGGAGTGGCTAGGCGGGGGGGGGGGGGGGTCAATTAGGGGGAAAAGGAGACATATGTAATACTTTAAACAATTTTTAAAAAAGAAATAAAATAAAATTTCTCTGGACAGATCTTTTTACTGTACAAAGTCAAATATCTATTAAAAAAAAAGTTTGGAGATCATTAATGACTAGGAAAACAAACATTCATATTTTGTTAGTAAAACTCTTCAGTACTATTAGCAAAACTGCATATACTCAAATAAGGTTCAGGCATGAAGCTCCTCTGAGTCTGCCCGGTATCGTGTGGCTTGCAACCAACTTGGCAATGTCTGGGCAACCCACTGCATACTCCGAAGATAAGGAGAGAGGCTTCCACCTGACAGCCTGGGTCTACCACCTTTCCCACAGCAGGGAGGGAAAAGGAACTGTTCGTCTCCCTCCCTCCCTCTGCCTCCAGCTCTGGGTCAAAGTTCTTCATACCTCCAGTTTATACATGGTCTCATTCATGAAATTGTATTTGGTTGCTTGCTTTTTAGGGGCATGATTGCCTTGGAAGCAAACTATTAATCTGATTTTAGAGTGGTAGGCTTCGGAGATAACTGCAATCTGTGTGGTATGATTTGAAGAAGCCAGGGGGGGGAAAAATTGTTTCCCTTCCAGATTCCTGAAATTCCAGATTAGAATGAAAGGTGAGAATGCAATGCCCAAGTTGGAATGACCAGGACTGGGGGCTCTCCCACAGATGAGCCTTGGAGAGAAAAAAGGCAATAGGTGAGAAAAGGGGCCCATAAAAAAGGAAGTTTGAGGGAAAACAAAATCAAACCCCACCTCACATTTTTGTTAGTGTGAGTTTTAGTTGGCCTGTTCCCAACACCTGAAACATAATAGGTCACAAATATTTGTTGAATGAATGAATTAACTCTGTCCTAGATTTGAGGATACAGACCCTCCCCCACTCAAAAAAAAAAAAAAAAGCATCTGAAAGAAGACAAAAGAATCAGTTTTATGAATGGGATTAATTTACTGTCCTAGAATTCACTTGGGAGTGGGGGTGGGTGGGGGGAAATAAGCAATTTTCCAGGATCCTCAGAAGCTCTCCTCCAGAGAGTATCCCCCTCCACAGGCACCAGAAATTGCTCCTGAGGCTGGAGCATCACAAAGGCTGATTCAAACCCCATATGCCAAATGTTCTATCTTCCAGCTGGGATTCCGGCCCCGTGAGAACTGGGGAGGGAAAATAGGTGGGGTGCTGGAGAGAGCCCTGGGCCAGCGGGTGCTGACCCAGCCCCGCAGCGCGCTCTCCCGCTCACTCCGCTTGCAGTGCTAAACTCAATCCAAGCGCCTCCCTCAGCCATCTCCTCCGCCCCCCTTCCCCTCCCCCTTTCCCTCCCTTTCTCCTTCTCCTCCTCCTGCCGCTGCAGCCACTGCCAGACCTCGCCAGTTCAGACCCACGGGGCTGCCCTCCCCTGCACTCTCCCCTCGCTGCCCGGGCCCGGAGCGCAGCGCTGCCGCGCAGGTAGGAGCCCCCGACGCGGGGGGTCACACCATTGCGCCCAAGTGCCCGCAGGGCTGCGCGCCGGCGAGCAAGTGGGGTAACCTGAGGGGTGCAGTGTACCCGAGCACTGACCCAGACTTTGCAGGATCTCTCAGGCAGAGAGGGAGGTTGGAGGTGTGCGGTCTTGGGAATGCGATTTGTCAGCCGGTGCCAGTACCAGGGTGACATCTGTTTGCATGGGCATGTGTGTGCACGCCGACAACCATCAGACAGGGCTTTGCCCCTAAACGCGATTTTGAACTTTTCAGGGGCTAATGTGAGAGATTTAAGACGCACCTGGATTCCACAGGCGCTGGTAAAAACTGGAGCGCTGAGCAGCTCCAGGGTTTGCCTACTGTAAAGAAAAGGTACCTCACTTCACTTGGGGCGCCTGGCCCGCCACCCCGGAACTCAGGCTTTGGTGTGGTGTCTCTCCCCCCCACCCCACCCCCACCCCCTGGTTCAGGCCTTAGGTAGCCCCAACCCAGAAGGTAGCGTGTCGGGACCCAGAAACTAGCGAGGCACAAGGGAAGCAGACGCTCATCCACCCACACAACCTGGCGCTTTTAAACAAAGCCGCGCGCAGAGAACGGGGTGGAAATACCACTTGGAAAGCTGGTGCTGGGGGTGTGAGAAGGAGCTCTTGAGAGGCAGGTATTCTACTAGAACCGGGAAGAGATTGCCCCCAAGTTTTGTTGTGGGGTTTTGTTTTGTTTTGTTTTGTTTTAATGTGAGGCCAAGGTAATTCATGTTGGTTCGCAGGTATTTCTACTGAGCTGTGCAAAGAACTTCACTAGCTGGAGGTGAACTTATGGGGAAAAGCCTTAACTTTCAAGGGGATAGGAGATTTGCTGTGCCACTTTCAGGCTTGCTAAATAAATAAATAATAAATATCACCTCTTTTGAAATTAATTAACCTCAATTAATTTCCTTCTGCCTCTTTCTGGAGCCTGTTGTGTAGGTGCAGTATGGAAGGTACGCTGTGTGTGGTATATGTTTAGCACGGCTGGACAGAGTGAAGTGAAATGACTCTGCAGCCCAGTTACACAGTCTTTGGTGCCTCCTTTGGCACTGGAAGGTTGGGGGGGGTGGGGGAGAGTTGAGAAAGTAGATTGAGGTTGGGTATCATGGAGTCTCAGCTTTTCCCAGCCCTCCTTCCTTGCTTTGTTACCTCAAGAGCTAAAGTTTTGTTTCTTACCTCTCAACTGATGATACTAAGCATCTCTTTGTTCTGTGTTTTCTTTGAGATTCAAGATGTTGAAAGCCATTTTCCTAACTATGCTGACTCTGGCGCTGGTCAAGTCACAGGACACTGAGGAAACCATTACATACACGGTAAGGGGTGATGGAATTTGAGATAAGAGCTGCACAGCGGGATTCTGTGACACAAGGGAGACTTTATCCACTCCTGCCCGCGTGTGTGGACTGCACTCGGAGAGGGTAATGAACTGTGCCTTAGCAGGGTACACGTTTGATTCCTTGTAAGTTGCAGGTGGTCCTTTCTAAAGTTCATTTAGATTACCAATTGAGATAGGGACTAAAATGTAATTAATGATCTGTGTAAGGAGAGGGAGAGAGAGAGAGAGAGAGAGAGAGAACAATTTTAAAATGAAAACCTAAGTAAGCTACATGTTTCTAACACATTCAATAAATTAATGGGTGTCAGGAAATGGAAAACCAGGATTCCTACATGCATGCAGATGAAACCCAAACTGGCAGAGAAAGACTTTAGTAAAAATCAGTAAACATCAGAAAAGCACTTTGCCTCATATGTACATGTGACTTATGTTTTCAGGTAAGTGGCCTTTATTAACTTTATAAAGGCTGATATTCACTTATAGTATAACATATAAATGCCCTTGTGATAAACTTCATGTGTTACCAGGCTGTGGAATTAGCTCAAGTGAAATGCATTGTGTGAAATTTGATTTTGCATATTCTAATGACTATATATGATATTTTCAGATAATATCTGATTAATTAGTTAATTAGATGGATATGCATAACTAATGTTTACTAAAATATCTTACCTCTCCCACTGCCAAGAGTGGTCGTGGTGCAAACAGAGGGCAGTACTTACCTCACTTCTGGTGAGTTTGCACCTCTGTTTTGTGTTCTTTACTCTTTAATCAGTGTTGTGAGGCAAATGGCATTTGTCCTGAATCAAAATATGAAAACCACATTTTATTTTACTTGTTTTCAATTTAAAATTAAGTAATCCTACTTAGAAGAATGTGAAATTTTTTTTAAATAAAAATTTTAAAAGTGAGCCAATGTCAGTTACTGATAATAAACATTATATCACTTTTTTGGTAACATATTATCCCTAAAATGATAGTATTCATCTGGCAAATGTTCCTCATTGTTGTTCAAATCAACTATCAATCAAATAGGGTTTAATATAAATATTTTGTTAACCTACTGGTAAATGTAATTTGCTTCCTCTGCTGAAGATAAATAAATCAAGAGAAATGAATACATGTGTTGTTTATCTTCTACTGAAAATGTTTTGTTATGCAGGCTAAATTAAACCTTCTTAGTTTAAGTTAGGGAGCTAACATTAAATTAGCTACCCACTTTTACATTCATCTAATAAAAGATTTTATAACTTTTATAATTTCTTGTTTTATACTCCCTCCCCTTTGCTAATCACTAACTCTTATTCATCTTTAGCAGAGAAAGTTCCCTGTGGATTAAACACAATTGTTTTAAGATTACACACTAGGGCTCACTATTTTGACAGCAGATTTCCAAGATATGTCATCCTTTTTGTGCTAAGATTAGATCTATTCTCTTTTGAATTGTTTATGCCTAATAACTAGTGGTTGAAGAATAAGATGTAACTATTTTTTAAGTATCCCATGGTGGAGACATTAGCTCCTTTTATTCTCACAGAAAAGTATAAGGTAAGTGGCATCATCTTCCCTTTGCTGACAGTAGAACTGAAGATCTGGGAGAGTATCTCATTTACTTAAGGCTACACAGCCAGCAAGTGGTTAGCTAAATTCACTCTAGGCTTGTATAATAGTAGAGCCATATTTTTTTTAAACCAATATATTTTATTGATTTTCTACAGAGAGGAAGGGACAGGGATAGAAAGTTAGAAACATCGATGGGAGAGAAACATTGACCAGCTGCCTCCTGTACATTTCCTACTGGGGATGTGCCCGCAACCAAGGTACATGCCCTTGACCAGAATCGAATCTGGGACCCTTCAGTCACCAGGCCAACGCTCTATTCACTGAGCCACACCTGTTAGGGCATTAGAGCCATATTAAAGGTACTGGAACTAAATACCTATAGCAAACTGAAGTCTTTTCTATTAGCATACAGATTATTTAAGTGAACTATCATTTTGCATCATTTGAAAGAGATACTTTTCAGAAGGATGGGCGCATATCCACAAGATAGTATTCCCCCTCCATATTAAAGATTGGGTGCATTCAGTTAGTTACTCACCAGGTATCTGCTATGTGCATAAGCAGTTCTCATTACTATCAAAAGAATTTAAGTTTATTTGTTTACTGAGAAAATCCAGACCTTAACCTCAGGGAATTTACCCTGGGAAGATACTGTTAAAAACCACAAAGTTCCTAAGCAAGTACAAATAATATTGTTATACAAGTTGCTTAAGCAATAGAAAAGCAAGGAGGTAATTAATGTCAGTGATGGAATATTGGAGGAGATAGAACTCTGTGCTGACTCTTGAAGGAAGTAATGACTTTGGATTAATCCATAAAGGCTGAAGAGACATCTGAATTAGGAAGAAAAGAAATTGGCATAATCAAAGTCTAGAAGTGTAAACAACCAAGACAATTCCAAAAGGTGACCAGGTCAGATGGGCTGGAGCTGGGTAGTAGGGAGAACCTTGAGATGATGATAATGAGAGATGAGAGGTCTACAGGCCACTGTGATCTCTTAGATGGAGTAACAACATAATCAAGAGAGACAGAAAGATTGCCATGGAGGCTGTTGTGCACCATGTAGAGATACGGAGACCTGTGAAGGAGCCTTGCCTACTCATGAGGCCAGGAAGGCTTATACTAATTGATAGATACACAAAGTCAGCAGAACTTGAAGGAAAATCATTTAAATAGTCAATACTGATATCAAAATTTTAATCCTGGTTTCTGAGAATGGTGGTAATGCCTTGCTTGAGCACTGTTTGGGAAACTTGGAAAAATAAATTTGGGAGATAAAGTAAATTTAGTGTTTACCCCGCTAAGTTTCAGATATCAGTAAAATATCTACACTGACCTCTCTGTCTCCATTCAGCTATTTACTTGCCAAGCATCTGTTGTGTGCATAAGCAACTTGAGCTCTATTAAAAGAATTTATTTTTTGGTTTACTATACTTTTTCTCAATACTTCCTGATGCATCTTTCTTTCCTCAAGAAATAGCCTCTGCTAAGTGAAATAAGCCAGTCAGAGAAAGAGAGATACTATGTGATTTCACTTATATGTGGAATCTAAGGAACAAAATAACCTAACAAACAAAATAGAAACAAACTCAGAGATGCAAAGAACAGAGCGGCAGCTATTAGAAGGGAGGAGGTTGAGGATGGGGGGGGGGGAGGTGAAGGGTTTAAGCAAAAAACAACAACGCATAGACAGACAACAGTATGGTGACTACCTGAGGAAAAGGGGGATAGATGGAGGTAATAGAGGGTAAAGGAGGAATAAACAGTGATAGAAAGAGACTTGACTTGAGGCGGTGAACACACAACACAACATACAATGTATACATGATGTATTATAAAAATGTACACATGAAACTGATATAATTTTTTAACCAATGTCACCCCCAACAAATTCAATAAAAGGTAAAATAAAATAGAAGTAGCACCTAGATTATCTGTATCAGAATCAGATGGGATGCTTGTTAAGAACTCAGATCCCAGGCCTCCTACCAGAATCTGATCTTTTGGTTGGAACCAGCACCTTGGTGATTCTTAACCATAATACAATTTGAGATTCACTGACCATCAGTAAGAATTCAGTTCCTGTCTGTCCCAAAGAAAGGTTTCCCAGATTTGGCCCTGTCTACTTCTCTAACCTTATCCCCACCCACTCACCCAAGGCTACTTGAAGCTCCATCTCCTCTTTAACAGTTTTACTCTTATCAGTCCCCATCACTTGTGGCCTCCTTCACAGAGCCTTTCCTTCCATCCTGTTGTGCCCACCATACCCCTGGGCAGAGTCCACCACTCCTGCCTACATGCATACTTGTGTCATGGCACCTAACATCTTGTTTCCAGCTTGTGTATCTGTCTTTCTCCTTTTCTGGCCTATGAGCTGCTTGAGGACGGAGAAAAAGGCTTCATGATCTTTGCATTTCTCAGGACTAGGATGGTGCGGGAAGGTACTTAATAGATGGTTCAGTGAGTGAACCAGAGGACCTGTGGGAGCTGTAACTAGGATGCAGGCCAGGATGTGAGAGGGAGGCTCTGAACCCAGCTGAATGGGAATGATAAGGAAAGCCAGCTGCTGGAATGCTCTAAGAGGATTTGGAGAGGGAAAGAAGAGAAGAGTCAAGGGCTGAAAAAAAATAACTCAGTTGGATTTTTTATTTTTTATTTTTTTGTAAAATTTACATTGTAGAATAAGAAGCAAATAAAGCAGGGGGGAAAAAAAAAGACCAGAGCAGTCAGGGAGATTGGAAATTAGTATCAAGACAGGGAAGACTTCCAAGAAGATGCTCATGGGTGTTCATACCAAACACAACAGGAGAGTTAGGCAGCTGATGATTGGGAAGGGATGCCTCAAGCAGGACAAGGCACAGATTTGTCTTAGGAAGGAAGGAAGGAAGGAAGGAAGGAAGGAAGGAAGGAAGGAAGGAAGGAAGGAAGGAAGGAAGGAAGGAAGAAAGAAAGAAAGAAAGAAAGAAAGAAAGAAAGAAAGAAAGAAAGAAAGAAAGAAAGAAAGAAAGAAAGAAAGAAGGAAAGAAAGCTAGAGAATGTTAAACTGCCCATCTCCTCATCCATCTAGGAAGCTAGTGCAAAGATTGTTGCCATAAGAATGAAACTGTTAGAGTGACTTCCTAGGGACTGGATACACCAACTAACTGTCTCCTGGCCCCATCTTGATGTTTTCTTCACAGCAATGCACAGATGGATATGAGTGGGATCCTGTAAGACAGCAGTGCAAAGGTGAGCCAACTTCAAAGACTTCCCACCTGAACATAGCTTTCTGTGTCACTCTTCATCTTATGCTGCTCTTCCTGTACTGTTTGTATTATACCAAAAAATATTTGAGCATATATGTATATGTTCAGTTTTTCCCCCTAAAAAGATTCCTGACTTATTTTATTATTCCCCCTCCCCCAGATATTGATGAATGTGACATTGTCCCAGATGCCTGCAAAGGTGGAATGAAATGTGTCAACCACTATGGAGGATACCTCTGCCTTCCTAAAACAGCCCAGATTATTGTCAATAATGAACAACCTCAGCAAGAAACACCAGCAGCCGAAAGTGTGGGTGCATCTGCAAATGCAGTCGCAACCTCGAGTGCAGGCGGGGGTGTAGCAGCCAGTGGCGTGGCAACCAGTGGAGTGGTGCCTGGGACTGGTTATGTCGTCAGTGCTGCTGCAGTTGCAGGTCCAGAAGTGCAGGCCGGCCGAAATAACTTTGTTATCCGGCGGAACCCAGCTGACCCTCAGCGCATTCCCGCCAACCCTTCTCACAGGATCCAGTGTGCAACAGGCTATGAGCAGAGTGAGCATAACATCTGCCAAGGTAAGCATGACTTCTTTTCCTAACAGATAGGTTCTTGCCCAAGTGCACCACGTGGTGAAAATCATAACTCACACATTTCTGACAGCTTCTCACATGTGTCAGACATTGTGCTAAATGCTTTGCCTGCAATAATCCTAAAAGGTAGTTGCTGCCCACATAGTCATCATAGACTCAAGAGAGATCACCAGTTGTTCTCAACCTTAGCTGCACATATTTAGTCACTTTGGGAGCCTTTAAAACTCCTCCATGTTCAAGTCACATCACAGCCCCAATTCAATAACAACCTCAGGCATCGGTAGTTTTTAAAGCTCCTCAAGTGGTTCCAGCATGCTGTCAAGTTTGAAAACCGGGGTCACACAGATGGTGAGTGCAGAGCCAGCCTTAAGACCCGACAGACAGGGCCAGAGTTATAGCTGTCAGAAGGAACAATCGGGTTATCCATGGGAATTGCTCTGTCTAGTGACTCCATACTGGTAAATATCCCCCTTTGGGTTCTCAAGTTTTCTTTTCATTGAACTTGCCACTGACATTTTTTCCTTATAATGGAATAAAAAAATGGGGCTCCTGCTTCTCAGTACCATCTCCCCCACTCATGTTCACATGTCTTTTAAAAGCTCGCATTTGAACACATTTTGCATATGAAATGGCACCGTCTGCCTGGGTTTTTCTGTGTATTGTCACAAACGGGACACATCACTGTGTATTCTAGAAACAGCTGTAGAGACTCATCCTAGCAAAGCAATAAGAATCTTGGGCTTTGAAGACACATAGGATAGTAGCTAACTGGACTGTGCTAAGGAATTCTGTTTCCCTCTTCCTACTTGACAAACCCTTTCGGAACTGTTTGATGTGAAGATTGTGTTACTGAGGCCACAGGAGTCCCAGACTACTTTTTCATTGCAGGGCTGACTAAGTAGACCTCCTAACACCATAAATGCCAGGCACACACTGGTCAATGGAAAGGGCCAGTAGTTCTTACCTTCTATCTACTCACGAGTGAGGAAGCGAGCACCTTCCTCCCTCAACACTGAGGATTCAATTGGGATCACCTAACTGCTACATTACTAAGTGAAAAAGCATCTTCTGGTCTCCTACGATGCTGCCCCTCACTCACCACTGTTGAGTTTTATCTCCTATATAAGAGGTAGTAGATTTTAAATGGCTTATAAATGAAGTAAGGAAATCTATCATGTTCTGACTTTTATTATTTTACTGGGGTTACTCAGTGCATAAATTCATGCACCTTGAAAGGAACTGTGTGCCCTGAGGCTGCAGTGGGCACAGGGGCAGGTCTCGGCCTATCCTTTGTGTCCCCTGCCTGGTCCCTCTCACCTCAGCTTCCCCCCACCCCAGTCTCCTGTCTACCGCAGCCCCATTCACACCACCTCTGCTCCCACGCGCTGACAGTGCCTGCCCTGCTTGCACCCGCTGATGGCAAGGAGCAATTTGGGCTGGTGCCAGCAATGGGTGCAAGTAGTGGCTGCTGGCCCTGCTTGCCCTTTAGGAGCAGGGGTAGATAGAGAAGCCCTGAGGGGTGATCAGGGAGCAGTAGCCACTGCTCGCATCTGCTGATGGCACCGAGCGATCAGGGCTGGGGCTGGGTGCCAGCAACAGGGGCAAGTGGCAGCTTGGGTGCCAGCAGTGGATGCAAGCAGGGATGGCACTGGCAGCAGGTGCAAGTGCCTGGCAGGATCACGGCGCTCAGGAACAAAGAATTTTTAGTAACCAATGACAGCAATCAGCACCCTGCCTTGGTCTGGCGCTCTAGCTCACCTGCTCCACTATCCCACCATGGCCGATGCCTGCCATTTTCCTCACTCTGCCACCTGCTGCTGACACCTGCCATGTTCCACATGAACCACCTGATGGTCAGTGCACATCATAACGACCAGTTGTCTGGTTGTTCAGTTCCACCATTTGATCTATTTGCATGTTAGCATTTTATATATAGAGATATTTTGTGTTCAAGTTTTAAGTACCCTACAACAAGAGCTGTAATGGTGTCACTTTTCAGAGAGTTCATCATATGAACATCTGTTTTGTGTTACTGTCATGAGTCAGAATTCCAATATTGATGATGAATGCCTCAGCATCTGCTTAATATTCTGATATTTAGTTTAGGATTATGTCAAGGAGATAACTTCATGAGGTTATGTTTGTGTGTGTGAGAGAGAGTTTGAATTAATATTGATTTTAAAAGTGCCTGCATCTATTTAAGGTATCAATTTCACTTATTATTGAAATATGTAATTATATTAGAAGGATTGGTGATAATTTTCCTGAAACTGAAATGTTTTTCTGAAATGTTTTCAGTATGACTTTTATATGCTGAATTATTTTTTTATACTTCAGATGTATATTTTACTGGTACTTAGGAGGAAAAAAAACCACACAAATAAATGAAGGGCTATTTTCTAAAGTAGTTTATAGTCCATCATTGACAATTGTGGTTGAATTAAAAAATGATACCTATAACCAAATGAATACATTCTAGAATTAAATATATTCAGAACTTGCAACATACATTGGTTACAGTAGAAACTGTATAATAACATGTGAATAATAAAAATGAGAGATATATATTTTTTTAAATCTAGCCCAGTGGTCGGCAAACTGCAGCTCGCAAGCCACATGCGACTCGTGAGCCGTGTTTTGCCGCTCTGTTGACTAATGACTTTGCCGACCACTGCTAAGGCATTACTCTTACCAGAAGTTTTGACTTCAAGTTAAAGACATTAGTACATTATTAAAATGTTTTTTAAGTGTTTTTCCCTAGCAGTAATCGGCAAACTCATTAGTCAACAGAGCTGCAAACCACTGCTCGCAAGCCGCAGCTTGCCGACCACTGATCTAGCCTAATCCAACCAGTGTGGCTCAGTGGTTGAGCATCAAACCATGTACCAGAAGGTTACAGTTCAATTCCAGGTCAGGGCACATGCACAGGTTGCAGGCTCAATCCCCAGTAGGGAGCATGCAGGAGGCAGCCAACCAATGATTCTCGCTCATCATTGATGTTTCTATCTCTCTCTCCCTTCCTCTCTGAAAACATATTTTTTTAAAAAGATTTAGGCTATCTTACAAAATAAGTTACTTTTCTCATATTAAAACATAATTCTTACTTCTTTGGGAAATTTATATAGTGATAAGCTAAAACTACTAAATGCCTTTCTGATGGTAGATGTTATATATTTACTTATTGATTGTACACAGGGTATTTCCCAAACTATTCTGCATAATTCAGCCAATTTCTACAATTTGAGATTGGGGGAGATCCCAGTTGGGGTGGGGGAGATGTGTATAATTGGAAGCAGGGTTAAAAGGTTTTTGGCTGACTTACTACTTAAGTTGGATTTTCCAACTTTACAGATTTTACAGTGTCCACAAATGTAGATTTACTTAATTGTTGATTTAAAAAAGTGGGGGGAAGTATTTCATATGATAACAACAGGATAATCTGTCTAGGGAATCTGACTAACAAGTCGAGTCACACTTTTGCTCATTTATTATTGAGCTAATCAAATATGCAGTCCAGCTTCTTCTAATTGCCTACAGATGTATTACACTCTCATTTTAGGCCAACATCACAAAATAATGTTTTATAACCAATATGAAATAGTTAGGATCTCTGCTTAAAACAATAATGTGAACTTCTAATACTGTCATCATTGTGGAGTTTCAGGAGCCTTCTGTTTTAATAAATATCTCCACTCCCTTATAAATGATGCGTACTTATGCCCAATAATCCAAATACATTTGCTATGGTTGCTGGATTAGAATAAATGAATGCCTGCAGATGAGTCATATTTGTATTAAAATGACTTATTTTTCCACATATATTTTTCAACAAGTACAATTTATCATTACATAACTTAAAGCTGAAGACATCTTTATGTAATGGCTGAAATCTGTATTGTTTCAACATTAATTGTGCCTTTGAATGCATTATTACCAATCATAGGTGGACCTAATAATTTAAATAGCACCAGATATTTTTAAATATATTCTATTTTATAAATATATATTTAGCCAACTGTCTAGGTTTTAATATTTCGGGAAAACATGTTCCTTTTATTCCTTTTCTTAAAATTTTCCAGAATTTTTAAATTTTGTGCAAAAACAAGGGGTTTAAAATGCAATAACACATCCAAATATCAATTCATACGAACAGGTTTTTTTCATGTATTTTTTGTCAATTAATCATAATCCTGGGGAACTATTCCAATTTTGAATAACAGGTGGCAGCCCACTAATTACTGATTATGTGAAGATCATTTCATTGTTACATACCTGGAGTCTTGTATAAGTAAAGTTTTATAAATTAATAGTTTCTCCATATGCTACCATCTGCCTCAAAGACAACAGATATTCATCTTCTCCAAAAGAAAGCTGGACCTTTGATGACTCACTTTATTTTTCTACATCTTAAGTGCATAGTCTCTATGTAATCTTCCTCAAAGGAGATGGGGTTAGAAATCACTAGTTTAAGTTGAGAAAGGATTTTAGTCATATATAATTTTCTAAGAGAGAAAAAAAAGTATTTGGGAACTGACAAGGGAAAACATCAATTGCCCAATTTGAAGGAATTTGTTCACATAATTGAACTTTTGAAAAATTAAACATAGGATATTTTGTATAACTAATATTTAATTGACTACTAAACTCATTGAGGATTTATAGGTATCATTACTACCCTGGTAAAGAAACTGCTCCATCAAAAAAATGAACTTGCCCAGCCTGTGTCGCTCAGTGATTGAGAGTCAATCTATGAACCAGGAGGTCACTGTTTGATTCCCGGTTAGAGCACATACCTGGGTTGCAGGCTTGACCCCAGTGGGTGGAGTGAAGGAGGCAGCGGATCAGTGATTCTCTTTCATCATTGATGTTTCCTCTCTCTTCTTCTCTGAAATCAATAAAAATATATTTTTTAAAAGAACTCACTACAAATGCTTAATGAAGCTGATTATGGAGCCAAATCCAGAATGCAGTTCCTGGCTTATATA